AAGCATTCCACTTAGCAGGATACAAATGGAAGATAGAGAGGGATGGCATTTCACTAAGAACGAAAAATGCACAGTTAAGTCAGGATATCAAGTTGAAAGGGTGTACCCAGATAGAGGAACACCGACTGAGATTCAGGGACTACAGTGGATGCTTTAAAAGCATTCTGCTGGAAGGTAAGGTGTTCTCCCAAGATAAAATATTTTTTATGGCAATTGCTATCGGGTTGTATTACGATTAAGAAAAATCTACAGACAACAGGGATAAATGGTGATATATGTTGTAACAGATGCGGTGCTGAAGAAGAATCGGTTAACCATATTTTCTTTGAATGTCCACCAGCAGGCCAAGGCATTGTCAAAGATCCCTTTGAACCCAGTAACTTTCCTTATAGGGTCTCTGTTTACGAATATGGACCATTTATTTTGGCGGGTTATTCCTAAGATGGACGATCATCATTTTGCATGGATATTGTGGTATATTTGGAAATGACGAAATAGCAAAACTTTAAGTAATTTGGACGTTGATCCGAAGGACACACTCACATTGACGGAGACAGAATCCATTCCGTGGGAGGAGGCCCAAATAAAAGTAAATCAGAGTGAAACACATTCAGGGGTAGTCGCGGCCATACCGTCTATACCAAGACGTTGGTGTTTTATTGATGGTTCATGGAAAGATAAGGATGTGTTTGATGGACATGGTTGGTATAGTATCCTTGAAGGTTTTATGGGTTTAATAGGAGCAAGAAATGTTAGAGCCAGCCTCTCACCTCTTCATTCTGAGGTGGAAGCGCTTATATGGGCAATGAAGGGTATGAGGAACTTGCGTTAATATCACGTTGCGTTCGCAACAGATTATTCTTAGTTGGTGAAGATGGTTTCGAAACCAGATGAATGACCAGCCTTTGCAAATTATTTGGAAGATATTAAGACGCTTAAAGGGAGTTTTTACAGCTCGGCAATCATCTATGTACCAAGGACACTAAATTCACAAGCGGACAGTCTAGCATGCAGTGCGAGAAAACAATCGTCTTCCGTTGTTCACATGGATACAAAGCTACCGGTTTGGTTTGCAGAGTCTATATGAGTCTGTTTGTCGACGTAAAAAAGAACAAAAAGAACAAAAAGTAACGCCGGTTCGGTTCATTGCTCATAAACCGGCTTGATTGAGATATGAATAGAGAGGCCATTGACATGGAGTAATGACGTGAAGAATCTCAACATTTGCGCGTGTACAACCCCTCAACAAGGTCTATTTTGTCTTTATTTATGTGGTTTAAGGCGCGTGTGTATGTATAATAGATGTGTTTAGAAAAAAGATCGTTAACCTTAAAGAGTTTGGGGGAAGAAAAGATAATGAGTTCACGTTAGTAAAAGCGACACGTCACTTCTCTCATCATCATCATCTTCTTCTTACTCCTCTCCACTTGACTGTTCTGCAAAAGCTTTCATGCTGTTTGAGCTCTGTAACTAAGGCTTCTCCGGCCAAATCAATTTTATGGCTATGTCGTTTCCTCTTTCATATACGCCCGTTTCTGTTAAACCAGTAGCGTACTCTCGGAGATCGAAACTCGTAATTTTCTCTTCTTCTTCTTCTAATGGAAGAGATCCCTCACCCTCTGAGGAGAAGTCAGTTCCTAATGGATTGAAAAGCATCGATAAGCTTCAGGAGGAGAAGCGTCGTGCTGAGTTATCTGCTCGGATTGCTTCTGGTGCCTTCACTGTACGCAAATCCAGGTGACTTTCCAATTCATAAGTAAAACCTAGAATCATTAACGTATTGATAATTCTTATGTTGCAATCAGTTTTAGACACAGCCATGTGTTCTGTTACCGTGAAAAAAAAAAAAAAAAAAAATTTATTGCCTGATTATTTGGCATGTGCTTATGTTTTTTTCTTTTTTTTCTTTTTGTTTTGTCATTGTGAAAGCTTCCCATCTACAGTAAAGAATGTTTTATCTAAGCTTGGGGTTCCCAGCAATGTTCTTGATTTAATGTTTGATTGGACCGGAGCTAACGAAGATTACCCAAAGGTTCCAGAGGCTAAAGGGTCGATTCAGGCTGTCCGCAACGAAGCTTTCTTCATCCCTCTCTATGAGCTTTTCCTTACTTATGGTGGCATCTTCAGGTTGACCTTTGGTCCAAAGGTGTGTGTTTGAGCATTATGTTGGTTGATGAATAGGATAGTTGTGAATCCAATCACTTATGTGTTCTTCTTTGTGTCCACAGTCGTTCTTGATTGTCTCGGATCCTTCTATTGCTAAGCATATTTTGAAGGACAACGCTAAAGCCTACTCCAAGGTGAACAAAACAACACACTAGCAATTTAACAACCAATGGTTTTGTTCTCTTATACGTCTACTTGTAAATCTTAGGGGATTCTAGCTGAAATTCTAGATTTTGTGATGGGGAAAGGACTCATACCTGCTGATGGGGAGATATGGCGTAGGAGAAGGCGTGCCATTGTCCCTGCGTTACATACGAAGGTAACCCAATTTATTATCAAAAAAGGGCGTTGGAGAATGTGAACCATTTGTTTTACGTTTTCTTGTTTGTTTTAGTATGTAGCAGCTATGATCAGTTTATTTGGAGAAGCTTCAGATAGGCTTTGTCAGAAGCTTGATTCCGCTGCATCAACAGGGGAAGAAATAGAGATGGAATCACTCTTCTCTCGTTTGACGCTTGATATTATTGGCAAGGCGGTTTTTAATTACGATTTTGACTCCTTAACCAATGATACCGGTGTGATCGAGGTTCTATCCTCCTCTTCTTTCAGTTCATGTTACTTTTGTCTGTTGTTGTTGGATTAGCAAAAATGAAAGCGTTATTATGTGTTGTCTTTTGTTAGGCAGTTTACACTGTTCTAAGAGAAGCTGAAGACAGAAGTGTGTCACCTATTCCTGTTTGGGACATACCCGTTTGGAAAGATATTTCCCCTCGTCAGAAGAAAGTTGCTACTTCTCTCAAGTTGATCAATGACACACTCAATGATTTGATCGCAACATGCAAGGTATATAACTATGAACATATATGTCCAAGAATTGTTCATTCTCTCTTGGATCCTCATCCTGTTATTGTTTGTTGTCTTTACAGAGAATGGTAGAGGAAGAGGAGCTGCAGTTTCACGAGGAGTATATGAACGAAAGAGATCCTAGCATTCTTCATTTTCTTTTGGCTTCAGGAGACGATGTAACAATCTATCTGTCTTCTTTCATCAGTTTATCAGCTTCATAGGTTTAATTGATCCGACTTTGTTTCAGGTCTCTAGTAAGCAGCTACGTGATGACTTGATGACAATGCTTATAGCTGGACATGAAACATCAGCTGCGGTTTTAACATGGACCTTTTTTCTTCTAACAACGGTAAAGAGAGTGGACATAAACAAACAGTTAATTTGCACCAAATAAAAAAAAAATGAACAACAACCTTTTTGGTACTGCAGAATCCCAACGTAGTGGCCAAACTTCAAGAAGAGGTATGGGATACTATCTCATTCCTGCAAAATGATCTTACAAGAACATTCACATGTTAAAAAGACAGTTTGGTACTGTGGGTAGGTTGATTCTGTTATTGGAGATAGATTCCCAACCATTGAAGATATGAAGAAGCTGAAATACACTACCCGAGTCATGAATGAGGTAGAAAAAAAAAAAAAACAATTTGAAAATCTTGTGCTATTTGGTTTAACTAATGTTGGTGCAGTCATTGAGATTATATCCACAACCACCAGTACTGATCCGCCGTTCTCTAGAGAACGATATGCTTGGACCGTATCCCATCAAAAGGTCAACATTGTGGTTTTCTTCATTTGTATACGTTTTGGCATTTACCATGAGTTCAAGATTCTGAGATTGTTGTTTGCAAAAACTAACAGAGGAGAGGATATCTTCATTTCTGTTTGGAATCTACATCGAAGTCCTCTTCATTGGGATGCCGCAGAAGAGTTCAATCCCGAGAGATGGCCTCTTGATGGACCAAACCCAAATGAGACAAACCAAAACTTCAGGTAATGGCCTTACTTTGCTTATCATTTCTCTTTAGAGTTTAATTATATCGGTAAACTTTTCTTCTTTCAGTTACTTACCGTTTGGTGGAGGACCGAGGAAATGCATTGGCGACATGTTTGCATCGTTTGAGGTAAAGAAACAATTGACATATACAATGAGTACATACTTCAGTAGTTGTTATAGTAACTTGGGATATATGTTTGTAGAATGTGGTGGCAATCGCAATGCTCATTCGAAGATTTAACTTTCAGACTGCACCAGGAGCTCCTCCGGTATATAATCACTAATCAAACTCAGAGATTTCAAAACCTAAACTAAGATAAAGGCTTGTTGACATTCCTTTTGTGGATGGATAGGTGAAAATGACTACAGGAGCTACAATACACACTACAGAAGGACTGAAATTGACTGTAACAAAGAGAACAAAACCTTCTCTCGACATACCGTCTGTTCCTGTCCTTCCAGCTGAAGCTCCTCGAGATGAAGTTTCCTCTGCTCTGTCTTGAGTCTTTATGTTTGCAGGGAACTGAATTAAACAAGCCCAAAGAAGAAGCAGCCAGAATCTTGTGTTATAACAACAAATGTAGAGAACTTGTTGAATCAAGACAAACGCTGCTGATTATTGCTCTGCAGACAAGTAGTATGTAAAGAGTTATTATTATTCTTTGAATAGAAACTGTTTTTATCTGCACAGTGAAAGATAATAGTATAACTTTTGGGTCCTATAAAAGTTCAAATATTTTCTAGGACATAAACATGAGCCTCTGATCTTACATCTATTAAGTGATAATAGATTGTATACACTTCCATGTAAACATCATCGAAGTTGTCTACTTTTTCTATGATCTAGGAAAGATCTCTGCTCGTGTTTGGTATGCGAGTAATATGTAACAAAGCTTTCATCGATCTGAAACCCTCGGTCTTTAGTTAAAGACCGACCTTTGTTCCGTTCCATGTCTATGGATTCTGGAGGTTAACATCATTCGTTATCTTTCTATGCCAATGGCGTCTCTTTAGTTGCATCTTTCTCCACCTTCTTCTTGTCAGCCTCGGCTTGTTTTTCATTCTCCTCTCGAGATTTGATGAACGTTTTCACGAAAAGAGTCAGAATCTTGGTCACTGCAGAATGCAGATAGTAACAATGGAAATGAGTAGTAGCATTTTATCACTTAATAGCTTCAACCACTCTAGAAGAATAGACTTTTTGCATGTACCTTGTTCGAAAGGACACCGAGCTGGATCCTCACCGAAGTACTGGCACAAGGAATCTGCATTTCCTCCCTGTAAATTACAAATCAGTATTAAGACTTCGAAGTCCTCAAAGGGTCTGTAAGTAAATAATATAACTCACCGATTCTTTATACAAGGAGGCAAGTAACCTCACTTCTGCTTCAGCGATGTCAAGAAACTCCTTCAAGACCTGAAAACATGAATTTATTTCATTTAGAACAGCTACCAAGATTTTGCAGTTCTTATCATCAGCCTATCATAAATTAAACCAATATGAGCAAACTAAGAACATCTATTCGCATGTAGCTTACCTTGCGGAAGCCCAGAGATATTGCACCATCGTTTTCTGAAGCTATGAGTTCTTGCTCAACCTTTTTAAGACCTTTATCAGCCGCCTGCATTTCTTCAGCCAACGTTTTCAATTCAATCTGCAATTTCAGAAACAATTAAGGCAAATGCAATATGAAGACAGAAGCGAAGCAAAGCAAGCATGAATAAAACAAGGGTACCTTCGAGGCAGCTTCCAAGTGAACAAGGTCATTAGCAAAATCCAGCAACTCTGGCATTTTTTCACCAACAAGCTAAACAGTAAAAAAGAAAAATTTTCCGTTAAGTTCATCTTAAAACAGCACCTAAGGAAACTAACTGCGCAAACAGTATTATGCACTTCTGGCACGAAAGTGCGCACTGGAATTACTGAGATAAGAAAATATATGCATCTACCTTGCATAAGTAATGCATCAAAGTCATTTTGTTATTTCTTGCACGAGTATCAGATAATTTAAGAAGACTATCCAGTTTGAAACCCACAGCAGACCCTGCAACACAAAAAGCACTACATTACCAAAACATGCTAAAGAAAAGAAGATCATAAAAACTGGAAATCAGTAGGAATAGATGTAACCTCTTGCAGTTCCCTGATTTAGAGCATTTCCCAGTGTTAAAATTGTTTGCATAATCTGACGCAACTTTGCAGACTCCTTCACCTGTAACATGATAATAAGAACTTAATTACCAAGATGGAGATATATATTTACATGACTCACCCTCCACTATACCTCTTTAGTAGCAGCGTTTATTATATTAAGGCAGCTTTTTAAGTCTTCCGCCTGAATTGAACAAAAAATAACATCAACACAACATGTCTAAAGACAGGGGAGACCAATTGCAGAGAGTATTTATGGTTATACCTGAGAAGCAAAGGTAATCTTGAAGCCAAACACTCGTAACTTTGCTTCTATTCGTGGAACCTTCATTAGTTCCATGAAAAACTGATACATTTGCAAAGTTATAAGTCAGAACAAAGGTTATAAACATGTACCATCAAACGCTTTAAGAACTGGAACAAACCTGTTCACACTTCCCAAGCATTTCTTTGTCACCAGAATAATTCTGAAGACAATAAACAGCACGAGTTATGTTTAGGTATTAAAGAATTTCTATAAGGAACATATTAACAGAATCTTTCTTTGGTTCAATTCTGATCAAGCTTGCTGGCCAATATAATCACAATAGATAAAACTTTGGCAAGGAAAGAAACTAGGGTTTTGAAGCCAAACAGAACATATGAACCTGTTATTCATGATAATATGACAGTAAATTTCAAGATTACCCTTAACAATTCGATTTCTTCTTTCGTCGGACAAAACTTGATGAGGTTTTCAACCTGGTCGATGTCCAGAACTGAAGAATCTAAGGCTAGAACTGCGCTCTAAGATAAGAAATATATATGAAATTCTCGGTTAGTATACATACGTAAACATGATATAAAAGAGATGCAACTAGGTAAAGTGTTACACAAATACATGTTAACTCTAAACATAAACCTTACTTACATTATTGTTTCAGTGCTAAAATGATGAGCAGAGGATATACTGGCAACAAGAACTTACAAGCATTTCTGGTAGAGGAATCTTTATTTTCGTAAGCATTATTTCACAGTTATTTGCTCTTCGCAGGTCAACCTGATACAACACAAGAAAAAAAAACTAGTTAGCACTAAAAAATAAGTACACTAAGAGGCAAGAATGATAGTCGTTATATTAGTTATAGGATACCCATTTTAATGGGAAAATAGAATTTGCAAAGAATATAAGTGTCAAATTCTTATAGTAACTAATGAATGGAGTTTAACTATCTATTTCATGCACTCTAAAGTTGTTAGCAACACCAACCTAAATAATCCTACTCATGGCAATATTTAGAAATTTTACAGAACTGTATTTACATATAACAACAAATGGTAGATATGCAAAGAGGTGAAACTGAGCTGTCTTACCAGTTGAACTTTCTCAGGTTTGCTGATACTCGAACGGCGACCTGTGCTTTTCTTAGCAGTGGTATCAGAAACTGCAGAAAAAAGACTCTCGAGCTCTGATATATCTATTTCAGGAGCACTGTCATAAAGATTCATAAAATTTATTTATTAGTCAAGCAAAAATAACAGCTAATGGGAGATGAGCTAAATACAAACAGAAATGGAAGGACCGATCACTTTGAATGTCAAGCTAAACAATGAAGTATTCTGACACTGTGAATGTCAAGCTAAACAATGTAAAGAAAGAAAATGCAAGAGGTACCCACCGTGGTTGATTTTCCTGTTTCTGAGTATCAGCCCACAAACTACCTATTGCTGCCCGAGTAACTTTAGACCAATGCAAAGGCTTTAGCATGGTTTTCTTAGGTGCAGCAGTAGGCACACTCACACCTCGGCCTCTTCCAAGTCCCGAGGAAGCTCTGCCCCTTCCTGGAGGTGGAGGCGGTGCATTTGAACCTTTTGCTCCCAATGTTGGTGGGCCACTACTTGTAACATGACCCAATGCTGGCGGAGGAGGAGTAGGGGCCTTGGTTAGAGGTGGCGGAGGAGGAGCATGGGTCTTGGATAGAGGTGGTGGAGGGGGAGCACGGGTCTTGGATAGATGTGGCGGAGGGGGAGCACCCAACTTTGTAGATGAAGGAGGAAGTGGTGGTGGTGGAGGCGGAGAGGGAGAGGGAGTACCCAACTTTTCAGATGAAAGAGGACGTGGTGGTGGTGGAGGCGGAGGGGGAGCACCCAACTTTGCAGATGAAGGAGGACGTTGTGGTGGTGGTGGAGGCGGAAGGGGAGCACCCAACTTTGCAGATGAAGGAGGACGTTGTGGTGGTGGTGGAGGCGGAGGAGCACCCAACTTTGCAGATGAAGGAGGAAATGGTGGTGGTGGAGGCGGAGGAGGAGCACCCAACTTTGCAGGTGAAGAAAGATGTGGTGGTGGTGGAGGTGGAGGCGGAGGGGGAGCACCCAACTTTGCAGATGAAGAAGGAATTGGAGGTGGCGGAGGTGGCATGGGGACATTTGAAAGATTAGCTTTAGGAGGCGGAGGTGGAGGTGATGGGGGTGCCGAAGGTGGGCCAACATTAGAAAGACCAGAATGAGATGTAGGTGGTGGTGGTGGTGACGGTACACATTTATTCGAAGATGCATGGATAGGAGGAGGAGGAGGAGGAGGAGGAGGAGGAGGAGGAGGAGAGGGAGGTGGTTGCGCCTGAAGTTTATTTCTTGTGCTCCCAAACGAAGGTGGTGGGAGTGGTGGTGGTGGTGGAGCTGAAGGTGGAGAAATGCTTCTAGAGAAAGGTGGAGGAGGTGGTGGTGGTGGTGGAGGTGAGGGTGAAAACGAGCCTATGCTTGTAACTTTGTTCACAGGAAAAGGAGGGGGAGGGGGAGGAGGTGGAGGCAAAAGTGTGCCAGAAGTTGGAAGAGTCGAAGGGTGGACACTTTGCTTCGCTGAAACTTCTTGCTGTTGACGACGAGGGAATACATGAGGTTCCTCTGAAGATTCAGGAGCCAAAGATAAAGACATGTCTTCTGTCTCAACATTATCAAAAGATAGAGAAATTCGAGGTCTATGACTGGCATCAAATCCTTCATCTGAACTATCAGCGGCACTAGATGTGTTGGTCTCCTCTTCAGAGTCAGGAGAATTAAAATAAAAACTCCCTTTGTTCCGAAATCTTGTAAACTCTTTTGCATCATTTATGGCAGCAAGTTGTTTGAGCAACCAAAAAGCAGCATCGTCTCCATTTTCAGCCAAATCCACACCACTAAAAAGTTCTTGAACTTTAGCAAAAGCTTCTATGGGCAAGCCACCAATCTCATTACCATTTACTATTGGGGTTGGAACTTTCTGAGGCGAAACATTCTCAACTTCTCCAAACAAAACCTGAATGCAAAAAGAAAGGAGTCAGAAAGAATCGCACGCATATCTTAATCATTTCTTTATTTGTTTCTCCTCTGCACCCATATCTTGTCATATACATATAAAATTTTAAACAAAAAGGTCCATACCTCTGCTCGAAACCCTTTTGGATAATGATTCTTGGCCTCCCAAAGAATATCCAAGTCGTCAGGGTTCAGAATTAGTATGTTGGACCTGATAAATGCAGTATTGAACATCACACGAAACATCATAACCTCTCGTACTGGTTCTAAATCCATATGCACACACTCCAGTACAACATCTCCTTGCACCCAGCACTGGATGTCAATTTTGATCACCTCACATTCTGCCTGAAGCCAGATTATACAGAGTTACGTTAGTCAGAAAGAGTGAGACTTTATAGATAAGTGTCGGAAGAAATCACACCAACCTGTCGGTAATGCCGAAGGGGTTTATCCTTATTGGACATAGAATATAGCATCTCCGTGGAAACACCAGTTCTGCTACTAACGCTTCTCCCAAAGATACGTATAACAGGTCTGCATCCATATTGGGAGTCAAAATTTGGAATACCCCGAATAATCACACAATCCAAAGAAAGCGCTCTTTCAGGAGGTGGCCACTCAGGATTGATGTTCCTCCTCGCTACATACTGAAGATAACGAAGCTGAGAAGGGAAAGGATTCAAGGGGGAGAGCAGCTGCAAGAGACCCTTGGGAGCCTCACGGAGCACAATCTCGAGAGTCCTTCGCTCACCACTGTGAACTTTCCTGAAAATCAAGAAACTAGCTAGGATAAAAGCCAGAAGAGGCCATCCTCCTCTTTCACAGTGAAGAAGAATAACATCTCCACGAGAAAGCCAGCTCTCACAGACACGGAGGAAATGCTGGATTAATGATAAAGGAAGCAAAGGGCAGCCTTCGTATTGCCTTGGATACTCAAGGACGGTGACATCGTATTCACAGAGGGCTTCAGCGAAGACGCTTCTTTTGTCCCCTTCTCGGAAATTGAATGCTAGAAAAGATGATTCGGGGGAGTGTTCGTGTAAATCATTGATGACTTGGTGAAGGAATATTTGGTATAAGTCATCCGGTAAGACTTGCATGCAAAAACATGAATCGAACACTGCACCAAGATTGTTTTTGGAATATTAGAACAAGGAAAGCACCAAGTAAAGAGTGTAATATGTTAATATGATTACCGTAAACTCTATCGGTAAACTCAAGCAACCCATCTGGTGGTCTCTTGTAGAAGAACCTACTTAACAGAGACATTTCGGCAGATGAAATGTGCTTCGATCGAAAACCTGAAACGAATCCGATTTACTCAGAATCACAAACTTTCTTAAAATTCTTGGTTATTTAAGTCAAAAGCTAAAATTCGAGGAATAACTGCAATTACGATCAAATTGGAGGTAATCCGGACCTGAGAATCGAACACAGATGGTTTAGAACATGTGTAGACACTGCGACTGCGCCAAAATCGCTAGAAATTAGGGTTTATAAGATAAGAAGAGGAGGAGAGGAAGAAGAAGAAGAAGATGACTTACACGTTGCAATGAATAGTGTGTGACGTTGGCTATTTACATTCCCCGATGTTGCAGCTGCAGCGGCGATGGTGGACGCAGATGATGAAAATCGGGAACGTTTGGTTTTCAAATTTTGAATTAAGTTAACATCGCTTTTTCGGTTTATTACTATAAATAATCAACCCTTCGTCCATTTCTCTCATTCCCTTGTCTTTATCATATTTACATTTTTTAAACTATTTTCTTTTTCTTTTGGGAACAAAATTAATTAAGTACGTAGATACCAAATAGTAACACTAAGCTATTCAATGTTACTAGGGATACCAAGTAGTAACACTTAGGCTTTGAATGTGGTGCAGTTAAAATGCAGAATAAACGCAGGAGAGTTAGACTGCAGTCCTATCTGCAATGTTTTATCCATTCATCACTAAAATACATAACAAAAAATAAATAATAAAAAATGTACTGAACTGCTTGCAGTTCAATTGTAATGTAAAAAAGTTCTCCTGCAAATACAGCCAAAAAATGAGGTGGCCAAAAATAGGTGACCAATGGGTGATTTTCCTTTTTCTTTTTCTTCTATAAATACTATACCAAACTTCCTTTCTTTTATTACAAACCAGAAAATTATATTATACTCTTATAAACACTTATATATGTATTTACTTCACATATTATGTTTACAACAATTAGAGATATATATTATTTTTGTATTATCTATTTTTGGCTGCAATAAAAAATAATATATATAGTATTTAAATTGATAGAAAAACATACATAAGTGATATATCTATGTTGTTTCTAATTAGTTTTGATATTTTTCATGTTGTCTTTACATTTTAATTTTTTGAATGAAGATTGTATTGATACAATATTAGTCTTTTAGTTAAAAGAAATAATAGGAAAAAACCAAAATTGAGTAAAAATATATTAAATTTAAGTGTAAAAGATAATACTATTTATAATTTTCATTTATGATAAATGTTCATATAATATAAAATTTCTGTATATTTATTAAAATTATGATATTTATTCTTATTTGTGTCAATTTGATATTTATTACTTATTTATAATAAGTTGTAGTTGTTTAGATATTTAATTTTAAATTAAAATATGTAACATTTATTTAAATACTAGTGGTTTCCGGCGCTACGTGCCGGATTTTTAATTATTTGTTATTTAATTTTTACTAAAACAATTTAGTTACAATAGGTAAATGTTAATATTTTTATGAGGCTAAGACCATTTCCAATGGTGCATCGTTTTAAAAAAACATCAAAATTTGAGGGAATGTTATAAAGAATTATGTGGATGGGCCATAAACATAGACCAAAACCAAGAAGATAGAGGCTCAAACCTAGACAGCAATGGCCGAGTTCCTTAGGCATCATAGGCGGCCACAAGACTTTCCATATTAGTGTATTTCCATTCCTTGTATGTTTGGGATTTGTACTCTTTCTATTTATCTCTTCTTGTAAGTCCTTATATAAATGAACATATATTAATTCAGTAACAACACACAGAGAATTCCCCATTACTTCTCTCATTCTCCTCTTTCTTTACAACAGGGAAAACATTCTTCAATCATACAAATTGACCCATATATTTTTTATATAGTCTTATTATATATCTTTTTTTTTTTGAAACACAGTTTTATTATATATCTAAAAGAGAAAATATCTATGTTTTTCTTTTTGAATTGAATATTTGTGTTTTATACTTTGTTAAAATTAAGAATACTTTCATTAATACAATTATAAGTTCATATAAATCATTATCTTTATATTAGAAATTAAATTTATGTACAAAATAGAAATTTAATAAAAATAAAAATTATAGTTGGGTAAAATTTGTAAGATTTTAAATACATAGCATTATTAAAAAGTATAATAACTAATGGAATATACATAGAATATTCTATTTTGAGAAAAAAATCAAGGCAACCATTGGTGTAAAACCCGAATTCATTTTGAGGGGAAAAATGATGTAAACATTGGAGATGTTCTAATAGATGAAATACATTTTTTTGCTATGGAATTTTATAAAAATAAGTATAATAAATTTATAAAAATATATTAGTCTTTCCAATATAAGTAAATATTTAGTGCTTCAAAATACTTTGTAATAGTTGGATATTATGTTTTACATTGTGGAAAGAGACACATGAATTTTGGAGTATAGTATCTCATTTAACTCATTATTTTATTCTTTGTTATGTATCTACTATCTAGATATAAAATTCTGAAAGTTTAAAAGTGAAACAATTTGCTTTGCAAGAGAAATAATTGTGCAAACAAAGTTAGATGTCATGTAAGGGAAAAGAAAGCCGGCAGAATAACTGAACCTGGATCACATTGTTATGATGAGTAAGACTTCTAATCATTTCTTTGATTTAGAAAATAAAATGATCTAGTAGCTAGAGGAAGAATAAATACACAACCCCTTTATTTTCTCTTTTCACATGTAAAAAATCGTTGTCTTATCTCTCGCACTTAGTCCCAAACATCTGTCTAGTTAGTGTTCATCTTTCATTTTAATGAGTTCGTGGTAGTTTGATAATAGAAGAAAAAGAGAGATAAAGTAACGAAGAAGAATCGAGTGAGGTTCTACCGTTTGAGTTATGTCTCTTTAACTTGATGTCTTGACCTCAATGCTAGTTGAGTCACCTTTTTGATCTCAGCAGGATCGGATTGGCTCACACCGACGGTCATAGAAGAAGACGGAGAGACTTCATCAGCAACAGTTCTTGAGCCACCACTTTTTCTGGTTTTTGATTTCATGGAGCTTGAAGAGTAAATCTCTATGCGTTGGTCATTTTAGGATGATGATGGTGATGATGATGGAGCTAATGTGCCGAGCAATGAGGATCCAAGAGGGTAAGGCGCAACAGGCATGCTTGTAAAAAAAGCTCATGGAGTGGTCAAATTTGCAGGCTGGCACAAACTTGCAAATCCCATGTTGAGCATAGTGGCTGGCTGAATTGTTATAACATGCATTATTGTATATCGAAAGAAATTTTTTTTCAAAAAGCTCTGTCACAAATCATGAGAGATCTACCATCGAAGCTGTTTCAAACGGAAGGAGAAAAAAAAGTATTTCATGATTGAATCAAAGAATTCTAACTAACTATTAATTCTTACCAAAATATTCTATTTTTAGAGTCATGGGAGCTTCATGACCATATGATAAAAGCTAATATATGCAGGTGCTTGGGCAATGAGACTTACAGGACATGTATGAAGTAAACAATTATGCACACTAAAATTCCAGAGCCTCCATTTTGAAGTTTACAATGATATTCCAAAAAAATTTGAAGAGAACATATGTTATTTTCTCCAAACTCGACTACTCTAATCTTTACTTAGGAAATCATCATAAAATAATCACCATTGCAGAAATTAGAATAGAGTCAAAACCTTGAATGTTGTTTTTGTTCCTCTCTGCTATGACTCCCAGCCTGAGCTAAGAACCAAACTCTGGTTGACTTTTCTGACTGACTGTGTTCACATAAATATGCGTGTTAGATGAGCTGCACAGATCACAGTGAGATGCAATAAGTTTTTTAGTTACAAAAAAAAAAAGAAGAAGCGCCTGAGAAAAACTACATGACTTCAAATCAGTAAAAAATATATGGGAAGGAACCATTGTTGCAGATTGTCTTTGTAAGGAAGCTGAAGGGTCAAATCAGGTGAGGCTGTGAGATTCAGAGTTTGCTGCATCTCTATTTATACTGGAACAAATTAGAAAAGGGGTAATACAATTCAACGTGGTAGGAGAGCTTGAATGAGAGAGTTAATAGCGAATCATAATGATAACATTTCAATGTTGAAGAGAAGCGTTACGCCGATGTCAAAGACGGTAATCAAAAAGACGACCACCGTCAAAGAAGGAGACATGTTTCGTTAGGGCTTTTTCGTTAGGGCTTTTAAAATATGATCAATGAGGACAATCAGTTGGAACTGTCGAGGGATTGGAAGCGACCTCACAGTTCGACGCCTTACGGAGATGTGTCAGAAACATCGCCCAGGACTTGTGTTTCTATCTGAGACGAAGAATAGGAGGCTGCTGTTGCAAGACATTCAGGCCGACTTAGGATTTGATCATGTTTTTACCGTTGAGCCAGTTGGACTCAGCGGAGGTTTAGCTTTATTTTTTATGGATGAGAAGAATAAATGATATTTTAAAAGCTCCATATGACCTTTGCGTAAATAGCATTTGGAGAACATTAGCATCCTGTAAATGAATTTCTAAAAAAATTTCTCATTAATGTTGATTGGATAATAAGAGTATAATTCTTATGATAATACTACCAATTAATCCATCAACATCTAAAGCTGGAGATAAAGTCATTTCCGAGAATATGTAATAAATTTTTTCTAGAAGAAGAATCAAAGAGAGAATCAAATATGAAAGATTTTTCTGTTTAGATAGAGTATATATTAACCGGAATACATGATGTGTTATTAATGTGGTCTATGTTAATCAACTGAATAAAAATAGGAGATGTAAAGGTAGAGTAAGAAAAACTGATTCATGAAAATAAAAACACTTACTCTATGAATATGAAGATCTAGTGAATTAATGATTAATCGTGGATACCCAGGAATTAAATACTTTATTATTTATAAAATAACTTAGATAATATAATCAACTATTCATTAAAATATGTCAAGTATCCATAGTAGTCTGGTGGTAAAGACTTTGTTTGAAAAGTAAACAACTGGGTTCAATTCCTGATCTATCCAT